ACTTGTACCTAAAAACACAGGGTAATGAACTTTCACATATGTTGTGAAAGAGTGAAGAGCAGAGAAAGACGATGGAAGCTGGGAACTCAGCTGATTGGAAGGGTGGTGGTCCTCTTCAAAATACAAAATTTAGGAAGGGGAAGGTAACAAGTTCTGTTGTAGACGTGGTGACTTTGAGACTCCTATGGGAAATGGAACCAGAAATTTCCAATAGGTACATGATTAGGTAGGCCAACAGTTTGCTTTTCAGCCCTTCCACCATGAAGGCTGAGGACCTTGCATAAATGTATGCTCTGTGGTTGGTTGTTTTTTCTTGCATCTCCAGGTCTTAATATGGTGCTGTGCACATGATCAGTACTTGATAACTGGAGATGGTGTAGTGGAAAGATCAAGGACTTGGAGATGGAAATCATGAGTCAGATTCTACCTTTTTTTATTAGTTGTGTGGCCATGGGCAGTAATTTTACCTTTGATCTGTAACGTCTTCGTTACAGGATTGCTGTAAGGCCAAATGAGATAATGTCTGTAAAGTGCTTTGAAAACCTTAAAGCAGTATATTAATGTCAGCTCTTATTGCTTCTATACATGTGGCCTTGGAAAAGCACAAACCCTTTGAGCCTCATGAGAATATTGCCCTATGGACCTCATTGGGTTGTTATAGGTCAAGTATTTCAGAAATGCTGCCAATAATAATACCTAATAATAATAATTTTGTAATTCGACAGCATCACCAGAAAAATATTAGTGTTGAAACATGGGTTTTTGTGTCAAGAAGTATCTTGAGATCACTGAAACAATTGTGCAGTTTCCCCAAACCCAGTCCTCCTCTTTCCTTGTTTTATTCTGAGCCTAGTTCACTGTCAGTCCATGGTGCAGGAGCACACCATATATTCTGTCTTCTCTCTAATGGACCAACTCGTGGATTGCCCATCCTACCACATGTTCTACCCTACCCCCAAACCCCCAGTGTCTGAGCCTAAGGCTGTCCACTCCTTCCTCTGTGCTTTCTGGGTTTCCTGGTCCATAGGTAACAAAATTACTGTCATCTTAAATCTTTTCCTTTTCTACTCCATTCATCTTCCTACTCCCATTGAGACCTGGCTCCCCTCAGGGTACAAAGCCTCTCTTTCCAGCATTGGCTGCATTTTTACTTGCTCTCCCTCACTAGTTGGTTGAGGTGGGGAGCTGGAATACTCCTTGCTCCCCATTTCTACTTCCATCACTCAGTACCCTCTCTTCCTTTGAGGTTCATGCAGTTCATATCTACCATTCAATCAAAATCATGGCAACTGTTGTCTCCAGACCTCCGGGCCACTTTTTTCAGTGAGTTCAGTGCCTGGCTCGCAGTGTTGCCGTCCTCCTCACCTCTTCCCTTCATACTAGGGGATTTCAAGATATGTGATTGATTCTCCCTTAAACACCCTGATTTCCCAGTTCTTCAGTTTAATCATTTCTCATATCCTATTCCACCCCCCTTCAACCAAATACAATGAGACCCTCAATCACGCTGTCACCAACAAATGTACTTATATATTCCTGAACTCTGAAATTCTTTTAGCTGATTACAATCTGTTACTGTCCCACCTTTTCAACCTTGTAACCCCAAATTCTTTTTTTCATCTACATTGATCTCCAATCACTGCACGAGCTACACCCTTTTATCTTCCTCATCTTAACCCCTTGGTGAACCAGGTCAAATCTATACTGTCTTCTTGTCTTAGGTCCCTTTTCCTGAATACCCCCTTCTCTTCTCTGATACTATTATCAGTCTGGTGTGAGCTCTCATTGCATCATACCTGGACTGCTGCAGTAACTTGCTGCTTGATCTCCTTGCCACAAGCCTCTTTCCACTCTATTTCATCCTCCACTTAGTTGTCAAAGGAACCTTAAAGCACAGTGGCCATGTCACATTCCCTAACTCAGTAGACTTCGGTGGCTCCCTATCACCTCTAGGGGCAAATACAAAATCATCTCTTTAGTGTTTGAAGCCCTGAACTTATAACTTGTCCTTCTCTCACCTTTCCATTTTTCTTTATACCTTAACCACTTCACCACCCCCATAGTACTCTGTCTTCCAATGACACTAGGATAAAGGGGGCATATTTACTGGTTCTTCCCCCACCCCATGCTTGGAATGCTCTTCCTTCTCATCTTTGCCTCCTGGTAGCACTTCATTCAATTCTCCACTAAATCCTACCTTCTACGGGAAGCCTTTTTCAATCCAGTCTTTCCTTGGCTGCTTATTTCCCATTTATCCTGTACATAGCATGTTTGCATGTCTCCTCCATTAGACTGAGCTCCTTGAAAGCAGGGACTGGCTTTTACATTTTTTTGTATCCCTAGCAGTGCTTAGCACAGTGCCTGGCACATCCTTAATAATGCTTATCGGGTTATACATGTGCAATTATGTAAAACATTTCCATATTTGTCATTTTGTACAAGAAGACTTGAATAAAAGAAAGAAATGAGAGAAAGTGAAAAATAAATAATGTGCTTCAGTCTGAATTAAAACAATATAATTTCTTTCTCTGGAGGCAGATAGTATATTTTATCATTAGTCTTTTGGGATTGTCTTAGATCATTGTATTGCTGAGAATAGCTAAGTCATTCACAGTTCTTCATTGAACAGTATTACTGTGTACTATGTTCTCCTGGTTCTGTTCACTTTACTTCACTATGTATTAGTTCATGTCAGTCTTCTCAGGTGTTTCCAGGAAATCATCCTGCTTGTCATTTCTTATACCACAATAATGTTCTGTTACAATCATATACCATAGATTGTTTAGCCATTCCCCAATTGATGGGCATCCCTTCAATTTCCAATTCTTAGCTACCACCAAAAAAAGCTGTTATAAATATTTTTGTACATGTAGGTCATTTTTCCTTTTTTTAAAATGTCTTTGGGATATAGACCTAGTAGTGGTAATGTTGGATCAAAGAGTATACACAGTTTTGTAGCCCTTTGGGCACAGTTCCAAATTGCTCTCCAAAATGGTTGGATCAGTTCATGTCTCCACCAACAGTGCATTAGTGTCTCACTTTTCCTATATCCATTCCAACATCTAACATTTTCATTTTTTGTCACATCAGCCAATCTGATAGGTGTGATGTGGTACCTCAGAGTTGTTTTTAATTTGCATTTCTCTAATCAATAGTGATTGATTCCTTTGTCTGAAAACTGCCTTTTCATATCTTTGGACCATTTATCAGTTGGGGAATGACTTCTATTTTTATAAATTTGACTCAGTTCTCTATATATTTGAAAGATGAGGCCTTTATCAGAGATACTTGTTGTGAAATTTCCCCCCAGTTTTCTGCTTTCCCTGTAATTTTGGTTGCATTTGGTTTTGTTTGTGCAAAAATGTTTTAATTTTATATAATCAAAATGATCTATTTTACATTTTATAATGCTCTCTATGTCTTTTATAGTGCTGAATTCTTCTCTTATCCATAAATCTGACAGCTAAACTATTCCATGCTCTCTTAATTTGCTTATGTGCTCATCACCCTTTATGTGTAAATCATGTACCCATTTTGACCTTATCTTGTTATATGATGTGAGATGTTGTTCTATGCCTAGTTTCTGCTATATTGTTTTCCAGTTTTTCTAGCATTTTTTATCAGATAATGATTTTTTGTTCCAAAAGTTTGGATCTTTGGGTTTATCATATACAAGATTACTATAGTCATTTACTATGATGTAATTTTTACCTAATCTATTCCACTGATTCACTGCTCTATTTTTTAGCCAATACCAGATTGTTTTGATAATTACTACTTTATAATAGTTTGAGATCTGGTACATCTAGACCACCTTCTTTCACATTTTTCCCCCATTGATTCCCATGATATCCTTGAGCTTTTGAATGATGTAATTTGTAAAGGTTATGAGCACTGTGCTCCTGTTTTAAATCTGGGAATTTAGATGACAAATTTAATTTGCTTGAATGATTTAGCAGGATTGGATAGTAAAGAAGTATACTCTGTTTAATTCTTTTCATTACTAGCTTTATTTTCTTTTTCTTTTTTCTTTTTTGGACTGGAGAATGCTTCCTCCCTCCCCCCAATTTGAATACAATTTCTGAACCAGTAGGTAACTGTCTATAATAAAATTTAACTTATATGAGTTTGGGTAGTGTGTGCCTCAGTTTCTTCATCTGTAAAATGATCTGGAGGAGGAAATGGCAAACCACTCCAGTGTCTCTGCCAAGAAAATCCCAAATAGGGTCATGAAGAGTTAGACATGACTGAAATGACCTAACCAACCACAGCAACAGCAACAAAGTTAGGACTTAGGTGCCGTAAGTGAAGCCGTTATTGAATATCCTGAATGTCGGGTCCATGGCCTGATCTGGTATTCAAGAATCGTAAAAGAAAATCTGTATTTATCAATGTAAGGTTTGAAAGACCTCACATTAAATGAAAGCTTTGCCAATTTACATATTTTTGTATATGCTTTATATTACAACGAAGTTAGCTTTGATTATGGAGAATGAGTATGGGGGGGAGGGCTTCTAGGCTTTTGCAGGTACGCCACCTTTGCTCCTGCAAATTCGAGGCTTATGTTGAGGTTGTGGGCACTGGGCCGTCTGTGACCAGTGCTGTAGTTGGGTCCAGGCCATACTGGTTGGGTCAAGTGTTTGAGTTTTATAATAGAACTTTATTAAGAGCCATTGGTTGGTATGCCATTGATAGGTTAGTTGTCAATTGCTGTTTCTGAAAGAGAAATCCTTTAACAATTCCAATATCATTTAGTGAACTGGTGAAATGTATTCACATTATGCCGTGGTGATCTTACCCACTTCACTTTAGTGGCATCCTCAGCTTGTGGGTGTCTGATTTCATCTGTGCTGACCCTTGCCTCTGTTACATTAAATACAAAATATGTAATCCAGAAAGTGGGATATTGTGGTTCTTATTTTGAATGTTCTCTGTTTACTTTAAGAGCAAAAAGTAGGATGATCCTTTTCAAGTAATTCTACCACTTTTCTCCCTTTTAGGATTTGGTCAACACTGGACTCAGCACCTTCTTCTTCTTTATTGCCTCTATAGTACTTGCTGCTTTGAACCACAAAGCTGGAGCAGAAATTGCTGCTGTGGTAAGAAAACCAAATATTTGAAACAGAATGACTCATCCTGTTTTGCATCCCCACCCCAGGGTATTTTGTTCTAATTTTCCTACAACTGATTTTTTAAAAAAATTATACTATATTTTGAACTGTAGAGATCTCAGTTGGTTTTGAGGAACAGCTACCACCAACATTTATTTCATATCTACTGTATTCAGAATCCTGAGTTATGTACTAGGGGAGATATAAAGTTCTAGTCTTCAGGAAATTTACATTCTAGTAAGATACATGCGTGGAAAGCTTTGCTACCTAATATTGCATGAGAGATGCTATGTGAGTGCCATGTGAGATCTCACAGGCTTGCTGATTGTTACTGATGAGGGGAGATATTTATAAAGGAGCTAGCTTTTGAGTTGGGCTTTAAAAAAAATGCTTTTAAAAATGGATGAATAAGAATTCAAGAAGAATAAGAATTCAAGAGGGGGACAGAGTTTTCCCTTCCTGATGAGTTCTGGGGTCTGGTAGAGAATCATGGAGGACAGTTTCCAAATTCAAAGCTCCAGAAGGAAAGGTTTTTAGAGACTTGTAAACATTGTAACAAGCACAAGTTTATAACTGAAAATCAATTACCTAGAATCCCGAGCTAGATTTGTTATGCTACCTTCCCCTGAATAGATTCTAGTTACAGGGGTACAGACTCAATCTCCCCACCTCCAGAATTTGTGTATGTGTATAGATAGATATAGATATATACTCACTTGCTTAACTGCAGTTGGAATGAAAGAATGCAATATATATGTGAATATGAAATATACATATTCACATGTTCCAGAAAGAATGAAATATATATTATATATACATACATACATTAATATTGGGGTAGCTAGGTAGCACAGTGGTTAGAGTGTTGGGCCTAAAGTCAGGAAGACTCATCTTTGTGAGTTCAGATTTGGTCTCAGACATTTACTAGCTGTGTGACCCTGGTCAAATCACTTAACCCTCATCTATAAAATGAACTAGAGAAGGAAATGAGAAACCACTCCAGTATCTTTGCCAAGAAAATGCCAAATGGGGTCATGAAGAGTTGGACATGACTGAAACAGCTGAACAAGTCAAAAAATGTATTTATGAACACACACACACACACACACACACACACACACACACACACACACACACCATACTTCACATTCTTTAATTTCAACTGCAGTTAAGCAAGTGAGTTACCATGGTCTCAGCTCCATCTTAAAGAAGTACATGCTGGTCCTTAGCTCTAGGGCTCAAGTTTGCTCCCCTTCCTTCCAAGATATTGTCAGTCAAGCAGAAGGAGAGAAAGACCAGGACTTGCTCAGCAACATTAGGGAAAAGTCCATAAATTCAACATGAATTGGTGAGAGTTGGGTACCTTAAGGGCTTAGCTATAGCTTAATGGAATCTTTGTGTGAACTTTTTCAGTTCACTTTTATGTAATGTTTTCACAATCACCTGTGACATAAGTAGTATAGGTATTGCCATCTTCATTTACTGATGAAGAACCTGAAAGCCAGGGATGTTAATGATTTTCCCAAAGTTTCCTAAATAATGAGGAATGAATCTGGGTCAATGCTTCAGGGCTTCTGATTTAAAATCCAGAAGTCTTTCCTCTCTGCTGTGTGGGATGGGTTTTGTCCATCTTCCACACATTATGGAAACTGCAGAAAAACAGGGAGGGTCTAGGTTAGTAATTAAAGGCATTGAATCTAAAGATTTTCCATTGCATCATGGTTGTTGCATATTTTAATTGTGATTTTTGCCCATAAAGTTCACCTTAGAATCTTGGAGTCATGGAATATTAAAGCTAGAAGAGCTGTTACAACATAAAATGTTGAGGAGACCTTAATTTCAGAAAAGAGGTGGAAGGAGCATTAGAAATCCTCTCTCTAGACTAACTCAGTCATTTTAAAGATGGGAAAATTCAGGCCCAAAGAGAGGTCATAGAGCTATTGAGTGGCAGAATCAGGGCTAAGAACCTCAGCTGTCTGTTTTTCTTTGAAAGATACTATAGAAAGAAATTCTTATGTGGCATTTCATCTGGTAGAAATAAAATATCTTGTAGACTTTAAGAATGGTGTCTAGTGGATTCTCAGAGCCAGAAAGATCTGGGTTCAAGGACCACTTCTAGCACATTACTAGCTTTATGACCCAAGGGAAATCATTTAACCTCTCAGTGCTCCAGGAAACTCTTTGAGACGATTAAGTTGTAGAACTACCTGCATTGGCAGATGGCGTTTCCCCACTAGGATTTCCCTACACCAATGACATCATAGATTTGGACCAAAGTAAAAAATAGATCCCAAGTTCATATATATGGGACCATTTTGTTTCTGTCTTTGTATCCCAACTACTTACCAAAATAATAGCTCATATTTATTAAGCACCTACTACGTACCTGTGCAAAGTACTGGGGATACCAAAAGGGGCAGAAGACAGCGCATTCACAATCTAATCTAATCTGCAACTTCCTTTTGCTCTGAGATTTCTAAAAGCAATGATGTAATTGACAGTGAGCATATTGACAGGTAACAGCATTCATTGTTAAGCTGGGTCATTAGGAGAGCCTGCACAAAATCCATTTGTATAGTGCCTTGCACTCCATGACTTGTTCATGTCCAGTTGACATGCTCTGGAGAACTTATGGTAGGTGTTTCTTTTAGGTTTTTGGCTTCTTGGCGACAGCGGCGTATGCTGCAAATACCTTCTTAGCTGTGCAGAAATGGAGAATGAACATTCGACAGCAGAGCACCAACGAATACATTCGTGCACGGACAGAATCACGAGAAGTGGATAGCCGTCCTGAGATACAGCGTTTAGATACATGAGAAGGAGCGTCTGAGGAGGACTGTGGTTGGAGAGAGAAGTCACCAACAAAGAAAACTTCCTCCTCTCTCCTCCCTGTCCCAATTTCCCCCCATCATTTCTCATTATTTCATCATATCAAACTTTCATACACCTTTTAATTTTATCCTTCTTAAGAAAACAGCTGACCTTGGCAAAGAGCATTCACAGCAACACCATGAAGGAGCTTCACATACTCCATCAGATGTCCCATCTGCAAACCCAGAGATCTCAATAGCTCTTCAGATGGAAGTGCTCTGGAGGGACCACAGTATTATGGTGGCTGTTTTTTCAACTTTTAACCCTAATTCTGTGTACAGGCTGCATGTGGTTCCATTATGAACTAGCATTCAGTCAGATATCTTCATGACAAGGTCAGGAGTTTGAGGGCAGGTGAAAAATGTAACTCAAGTTAGGTTAAATGTGATTACCTAGAAAATAAGGGGTGAATGGCACCAGTTTAGGTCAGTTAATAGCCTTCATGGGGTGACCACTATGGACAGAGAGTTATTGTAGTTGATCACAGCCCATGCCAATGTTTGACTCCCAGTATAACTGCTTAGTTCTTGTCCTTTATTTTTGTGGCCTGTGGTTGGCTGAGACAAATCATGAAGCAAATTATGGAATTGAAAACTTTGGTAGCATGGACAGAAGTCAGTCCGAGTCTGTTGGCTTTGGACCTTATAGACATGAAACACAATTAATATCATGGGGATAAAAAGCACCTAGCAGTTAGGACAATGAAATCTGTAGTGGGAGGGCTACATTTTATTTCTGGCCATGACAGAAAGTTACTGCGCCATTTCCCATAAACAACTATCTTCAGTCTGAGTGGTGTACACAATTCCTACATTCCTACCTAACCTGAATGCTGTGAGGCTGAATTTGGGGAATTTTTACAAGAATTCATAATGCAGTCCCCTAGCCAAATTCATAATGTGGTCCCATAGCCATCACCACTATGTCCTATTAACCAGAGATGGGATGTTTGGGTATTTCTTTATATGTGTATATACACACACACACCACGTGCATATATGTCAATCTCTACACCATACCAGAATCAGTTCTCTGCCTGTGTGTTATGCCCTAAAAGGTCTCTCAGGTTATAGGAGTATATGGTGGTACTAGAACAAACTTCTACATATAATAAAATGCATTTTCTTTTGATCACAAGTATTGTGCATGACCGATCGACCAAATCTGGTTGAAAAAAAGCTCCCATTCATCCAGAAAGACTTGAGGGTATCCCAGTGAATTTAATATTCAAATTTAAATGGGGATTTCTCATATATACCATGCCTTTTCAACATTGCAGGGATCCATGATTTTGCATCTGTGTGGGTCCTGCCTCCTTTGATTGCAAATTGCAACCCGTCCTATGCCTTAATTTAAGTCTTCATGAGTTTTTGTGGCTGAAAAAAATTCATTTCCTTGTGGTTTTCCTTTTGGTGATGAGTCTTCCTCTGTCTGCTTCATTTGACTGGTTCTCAGACAGCAGATGTACAGACTGACTCTGAGCTTGGCAGTCAGAATCAAAAAGATTTTGATTTGCTGTAGAATCTGCCAAATTGGACTCTGCTCGCTTAGATTTGAAGAGCCCAAGTATGCCTCCACACCATGAGGAGTAATCATTATACTCGGACTTAGTAGGAGTTTACCGTATATAGATTGTCAATTCCCAAAGAATTAAGTACAGTAAGACAAGTCACTAAGACTATATTAACCATAATATATTCACTCTTTCATTCATCAAATATTTATTAATTTTACTGCACTGTGCTTTGCACTTGGGGAGATACAGAGACACATTCTTTGCCCAAAAGGATATTCTTTCTTTGATTTGAAGTCACTCTAGTTTATCACAGGCCTCAGATTCTTTGTTACAAAGAGAAGTTACTGTCATACAATACTGTCAGAAAATTCTATTTAAGTTTTCTTTGTTGTTTAGATTCTGGAATTTATAGAGAGAAGTTGATGCAATGTATTGGGTCTTTCTTCTCTTGAAGATTATATCTATGGAGTGAAGGGAAAACACTGTTTAGTTTACTGGACTGTTATAGTTTGGATTGATTTAAATGTGTATAAATCTCCCTCCAGCTTGACATTCGGTATTTGCCAAGGAAAAGAACATTTACTGCTGGTCAGGGAATCTGGATTTTTCACTCAAATGTGGGTATCTCTAGCATTCATTTACTGAAAGATTTAGTGCACAGCTTTGTGTACTATGTGTTAGCAGATGTGTGGGTGCATACTCACCTGTGTGCCTGCATGATTTAAATGCATTTCATTCACTGCATATTTTACTTAGTATGGCTTTATTATGTGAGATTGATAGCATTACCCATTTTGGGCATATGAAATACCAAGTCTAGTTTTCCTGTATTTACAAGTATGTCAACTTAATGTTAACTTTCAGAGCCTCATATGACATTTAACTTCAGTTGTGATGTTCCATTATTAAATAAGCATTTATTGTGCATTCTGTGCTTAGGTGGCACATGCAGTATCTCCAAATTATTGCATCTAACCTTGAGGAGAATTGTGTCGTCTTCCACACCTGAAAGAACCCTTGGTATCTCCACTCTTCTGTGAACCCACTCCAGTAGTATTAATGTTTGCTTGACAACTTTTGATTTAATTTTCTTAGCAATGAGTTTAGGAAGAGTGTGACATCTGGATCTGATCTTTTAGTTCCACACATTGCTTTCACTTTCACTGCGAACATGCATAGAACGTAACTAGTGACTATACTCCCATGTGCTTAAGTGCTCTATTGGGTTGTTTTGTTTTAAATTTTTAAAAGAACAGAAACATGCCTCTTATCCATTACTTAGCTTAGAATTCATTTAAAAGAAGGACCATTCCAACCTGTTGCTTTTCATTAATTATGGTTTATTTTCAAGTTTTTTCTACCAAGTATGTTCTTCAAAATCAAATACAGAAACTGCCAGACAGAATGATTACTGGAGTTTTCTCAAGTGATCTGAAAATATACAGTTTACCATTAGGAAAAACAGGATGATTGTGCTAATGCCCCTTTCTTATTATATTTGAGGAAGGGAGAGAGTTGATTATGAAGTAAATTGCAAATAGAGTATAGATACATTACAAATATGAATACAGCCCATGGAAAGTCTTGATCTTTGATAGATCACAGAGTTAGAAATTATTACGTATATAATTGTATACCAGTGACAAAATTTTTAGAAGTATTTATTTTCTTAGAATTATTTCTAAATCCTTTTTGCCATGGAAAGAACAATGTGGTTTTGTGCGTGTATTTCCTTGTAATTGGCTAGTGAACAGAAAGAAAATAAAATACATTTCAAATATGGCATAATATATAATCATATAATTTAAATATGGAGCATGTGGTCAATAAAGTAGGTCTAGTCTAGGGTGAAGGTAACACACTAGTGTTTCTTCTGTTATAATTCTTGTAAACAGACAATGAAGGCCATGTGTAAATTTGAAATTGAAAATGAATTATTTTGCCAGCTAAATTCCAGTTTCTGAATAAATCTTAATTTTAATAATGATTCCTACTTAAATTTATTATTTCCCATAAATCATAGACTTAACTTATTTTTGTTGTAGTTTCAGGTGTTAAAAATTTGAAGGAAACTTTGGTCATGCTTTTCTGTCTCCTAAGGTGGCCAATGTGGCATCAGAAGATAAGCTGAATTTTAATAGCCTGCAATTTCTTTAATAACTTGTCAGTTGCTGCAGACTAAACGGCATACTGCCGTTCTGAATGTAGGACTTCTCATAGCTTGAGAAGTGATAAACTGTGGATTGGGCATTAGAGATGTCATTCATAAAAGTACTTTTAATTTCATGGCAAAAATGGAAAAGGCACTTTTCCCTCACCTGAATGGTAATATTCTTCTAGTTCTTTCCCCTCTCCAAATTACACCATTCAAACATGCATAACTTTTCCTTTTGGTATTTCTTTAGACTATTGCAAGATGAGAAGAATGCCTCTTCTCTTTTCAGTCTAGAGACGTCATAGTCTCACAAACATATTGGACTATTCCTGGCTCCAGATAAAGATAGGAAAAGACAAATAGTTTTGCGGGTAAAGTTACTTAAATGGGGTACAATCCAAATTAAGTTAAATGAAATATATATTTTTTAAACAGCAACAGGAAAGCCTCTGCTTTCTGAAAGAACTGTGCACAGACTGAGCTGTGGGATAGGTTGCCATCTGTATTAGTTAATGACGCATCTGCACCCAAAAGATCTCTGTTTTTGGGAACTCTCTTCTTGGGAAGACTTGAGGAAGGAAGTGGTTCCCATTCCCAAACACCCACTCCTCTATGGATTTGTTCGGTTTAGATCTGCTTAACCTTGAAGAATTCTGGAAGAGACGGACGATCTGACCCTTGCTAATGCCCGTCCTTCCTTGGCCACTTCTGTTGTCTCTCTTCCTCGTGATGTTTTTCCTCCTCTAAACTGATGCCTGTTTACCTCTCTGTGTTAGACTCTCCATGGGATGCTTTGAGTATGACTTTTCTTGGTTCATTTAGGAACCGTTTCATGGTCTTAAAGACTGGGGTTTCATTCTGTCTTCCTGTGTGATTCAGACTTAGGTTGAACCACAGATGGTCTCTGTGGAGATGAAGCATGAAGTGTTTTGTCTGCACAAATATGTGAAGTCCCATTTGCAATGAATCAGCCGTAAAGGAAGGGAACTGTTTAGTTTTTTTTTTTTTAATTGTTTTTATGAGCTTTGAGTAACCGCTAAGTCTTTTTTTTTTTTTTCCGCTAAGTCTTTCATGACTAGAATTTCTACATACTTTGGTATGGTGGAATCTAAAGATGTAGTTTTGTTGAAGAAGGATCCTTAGATCTCCATATTTCCTAGGAGGATAGAGCAAAGTTGCTTATATCCCATCCCCAGTTGAGGCAGAGTTTCCATTATTATCTCTATAATTTGTCTCAGCAGCAGAATAGAAAATGTGTGTAACTTTGGCCCCATTTTGATAACTTTCCACCTGGCAACTTCATTTTGCCATTTCTCCTTCTCTTGAAATTAAACTGTTGAATTGTGGCAGTTGCTGCAGCAGGATCGTCTAAAAGAAAGAAAATGACGTGCAACAGGCCAGCTCAGTAGGTAAAAGAGGTAGCTAGTGACAGAGGTTGATTGGTAATCAATACTCAGGAGCAGGATTAAGCGGAATTCCTTCAGGACTCTCAGTAGTCCTTTTGGTCTATTTGTTCTAGATACCTTAGTAGCACTTGTTCGGTACTAGGACCTGGACATCTTAATGTGACTTTCTGCTATCTGAAAACCTCCTTTCCCTTTATTAATTACAAAAGGACTTAGAGAAAATACGTCTCTACCTACTCAATATTAGTAACTCATATTTCTATGCCATAAATACATGATGCGGGAGATTTAGAATCGGATGAGCTGGGCTCACACTCTGACTTCGCCCCTTACTTTCTCTTACTTTGGGCAAATTACTTCCCTTCTGTAAACCCAAGATTTTTCCATCTGTAAAATGAGAGAGTAGGATTAGATGGACTCAAAGGGCCCTTCCAGCTCTAAATCGATGATCCTAAGGTGTTACAAAGACCTTTCTTTAGGATGATCCAGCAGAGTAGGAGAGATAAATATCCCCATTTTATATGATGAGGAAGCTGAGACCAAGAGAGAAGTGAAGTGCCTTGCTTACGGTCACAGCGCCTGGCACATCCTAAGTGCTTAATAAACGTTCTAGCTTTCTATTGACTATTGGATCTAGGACTTGAGACCAGCTTTCTCACTACTCCAGCTTGCTGCCTCTACTTCAAGTAATATCCTTTTAAATGGAAGCAGTCTATATGGATGCTCTTAGAAGCTAGAGCAGGGAGACAAAGACGAAATAACTGCCTTGAATCTTTACTTATTATAACCTTGGCTGTAGGATCAGGTTCCGGGTAAGCTGTAACAACAGGGCCCAGTATAGATACACCTAGCACTACACTGCCTGAGCCAGGGTTTTGTGTCAATAAAAGGAACCCAGGTGAAATATTGCTACCAAATGCCATTGCAGTGTCAGGAAACTCTGCTGTGACTAAATGCCCTTGGCCAACCCGCCATTGGAAATGTTCCTATGGGAGTTACTCCTCCCCCATAATATCATTCTGCTCAAACAGTATGTTTTCTCAGAACGTTAGGTGGAATAGTCCTGTACTAGACAGTTATCGCCAGACTACAACCATGACCTGATTGGGTACCCATACATCTTAGAAGGGTATCATCAGGATTAACTTCCTGTGCCTTTTTTGAATGCTTTAAGGGCCACACCTAAGACTGAATTCCTCTAACCTTGTATACAACTTCTCAGTAAGGTTCAAATTGTTGGAATGATAAAAACTGCCTCACTGAGAGAATATGACCAAAGGGACTAAGATATTTACATTTCTTAGAAACTGCCTTAGAAATAGTCATAGTACTTAGTTGTCCAAATATACTGAATAAGATAATTTGTAAGAGCTATGAGCACTGTGCTCCTATTTTAAATCTGGGAGTTTAGATGACAAATTTAATTTGCTTGAATAATTTAGGAGGATTGCAGTATACTCTGTTTAATTCTTCTCATTACTAGCTTTATTTTCCTTTTTTTTCTTTTTTGAACTGGAGAGTGCTTTTGTCCCCCATTTGGATACAATTTCTGAACCAGTGGGTAGCTGTCTATAATAAAATTTAACTTATATAAGTTTGGGTACTGTATGGATTTTATGGTATTATTTTGATTATTGTTTACACTTCTTTGATGGGAAATATACCTTATGTTCATATCATTTGCTAGCTCAATATTCCCTGTGTTGGTGCCATGTATAAATTGGCTATGAGTTATAGACAAAGGTCAGGGAGTCTTGGAATATAGGTATAATTGTCCTACTTTCTAGATTCGCTGAAAGAAAACAGTGGGCTATTAAAAATGTTAAAAATCCTTTTCGTTAAGAATTTGTCTAAAGCTAGAGGGCCTCATTTTTAATAGCAGTTTGTATGTGTATTTTGGAATTAGGGCAGGTTCCCAAAGTTTCTTCTGATAACCTCACTCAAAATGTGAGAGGATAAATGAACATTGTTTTTTTTTTGTTTTTTTTTTTTTTGTTTTTTTGGAGATAGGGAGGAGGGATGGGATTTTCTCAATCTGGAAATAGCAAAATCTCATCGGTTTAGGCATGGGGAAATAGGTCTTAGTAATTGAAGATCCTCATAGACAGTGGCCCTCATATCTTAAGCAAACCCAAAGACATGGTACTCTAATTCTGTTTTGGAAAGTGAGAAGCTCAGATGAGGGGGAAGAAGAGGTACTTTAATCCTAGTGTCTCTGTAAAGAACCAATTTTCCATGTCTGCGTTCTTCGTGTTTCTGCCTAGATTTTCCCTCCCTTACTTTTGCATAAATGTGTTCCAAAAATGACTTCATTCCTTTCTACACATGTGACAACAGCAAATGATCAGTGCTTAAAATTGTGAACTGGTCAATCCAAAGCCAGTGGCAGTGGCCATGCTTTGCAGGGGTAAGGAGGATGGTTGTAGCAGCCTCCCCCAACCTAGGTCCAAATCCAACTTGAATGCGGCCAAATAGAAACCCTGTGAATATGGCTTCTCACCACTGTTGCTTTGTAAGCTTTGTCTAGTTCGAAAGAGATAGTTGTTCCACTCTTGTTTCAGACAGCGACCTGTTTTGAAATTCATTTTCAGATTCTCCACCCTGTTGAAAAGAAAATTTCTATGTACGCTATGGAGGGAATCAGGTGTGTTATCATCTAGATTATGTCCATTTGGGCCCAGTTTTTCCTCTGATTAAAGTGGTAGGAAATGAAACTATTTGTATATGTTGAAGTTTATCAGGGTTCAGGAACCCATGACAAAAATAATAAACTATTTATTACTCATTGTGTTTTGATTTGAAAATTTGATAACTGTTCTGTCTTTTCATGTTTTTTTTTTAAAACAAATATAAAGTAACTACTTCACCTTTGGTGCCTTCCAAGTTGTCGGATAAGCACTTGTTAATCATGAAGATGAAAAAGATGTAAATTTATTGTCAGTAAACACTATTTTTGTAGCATGGTCCTATGATCTTGTCTTTTAATATTGCTTTCACTGATGCCAATTGTAATATTTAACCAATTTTCCTTTTGTGAACTAGTTAGCCAGTTTGCTCCTCCTTTTTCCCCTCCATTGCTTCAGAAGGACTGACCCTTTTCCTTGCTTCCTCTCAATCTCCTTTCCTCATTTTGTTTAAGTAAGACTGAGGGTAAGATCATTTTTATGTGAAATACTTGATTATCGGTTCAATTACATTTCTTTTTTGGAAACATTTTTGAAATCCACACATAGAGCTATTCTGCCTAATGTGTTTTTATAAAAGGACAAAAGTTGATTTCATGATAGAAGGGAAAAATCTAGTCAGTCACCCATATCTATATATTGTTGGGGATTAAAGTTCTCACCCAAGTAAGTCATGCTAGGGAGTGGTGTTGTTTGAACTACTTATTTCTCAGAATGAAATCTGGCCGTTTTCATCTCCACTGCTTACTTAAAATCATAGACTCATAGAATGGTAGATCTGAGGGAGAAGTATAGAGCCAGCTAGCCTAACACCCTTGTTTGATAGAAGAGGGGAAACCAAGTCCTAGAGGGCTGCTTTATGAGGGTAATGGAAAGAACAAGGCCCACGGAGGCTTGCTTGCCTCATTAGTAGCGAGTTCCCTATCACTGCTAGGAGGGGTGGTGGTGGTTGTGTCAAATGAACACTAAATGCTTTTCAGTGTAGACAATTTCAGCTTCAGGGAAGAGTTGGTTTAGATGACCTCTAGGGCTTCTTCCAAACTCATGATTCTGTGAAGTAACTTGCCCAAGGTCATACAGCAAGTTTGTAGCAGAGCTGGAATGAGAACCTAGCTTCCTCACCCACCAGTCCATCGAATTTTATTCTTTACAGTACTATCTCCACCCAATGAGAAAAGTACAGGTCACCAGCCAGACCTTCTAACATACTATGCGGAGTCAAACTCATGTTTTTAGATTGGTCTGTTTGTGCCATGGAAGGGTTTCATGGCTTCAAGTTTCTACGTAAAATAAATTGCTTGGTTGTTATTGGGTCTTCTAAAGAGGAGATGAATTTCTGGAGAATCCTTTTTTCCTCTTTTCTGTGGGGTCATTGAAATGTCTGGCCAAGGAAAAATCTTAGTGATATGGCCAAGCCATTGCAAAACAATGCTAATGATTTTTCAGAAACATCACAAATGTATTTTAGAAACAATTTTTTTAATGTTTCTTTCCTCAAGTCTCATTTTTTTTTCCTTTTGGAGGGGAATGAGAAAGGGAAGGGTCAAAGTCAGTTGTAGGTATTTTACAACAGGTGAAGTGTCAAATCAAATGGCAAACTAATTATCATAGTTTTCCAACAGCTACTTACCCAGGTTTAAGTGGGTAATATTTTTCTCCTCTAGAAATACTATTAACTGGATCAAAATTAACCTTGATGTAGTTTCTATTTTCTCTAAGTGATATATTTCTTTGATTTTCTCTCTGAACAGTTTAAAGGTACAAGCATCCTACATTTCCAAGACAATGCTCATTTTATGAACTTGATTTTCTGAGTGTAACCTTTTGTAGGTTGTATTTTTTTTTCTGCTTTTATAGCTGAAGTTGAAGGATTGTAATTTCATGATGGTATTACAAAAAGTGAATTCAAATTTACTTTTGATTCTGATTATTTTAAGTATGTGACATTCTAAAATAGAAATGACATATTTTGCTTGTTATGTATTTTTAAAAAGGGCGCAATATGAAGGGTTTTTTTTTCTGGTAAGTTCCTGATTTCAAATGAAGTATTATGTTCATTGATTTTTTTTTTGCTCTCCCCACCCACATTTTTACTCTCTTCCCTTTGATTTACCAAGATGCCCAACTTCACAAGTCTTCATGGTCCTTGTCTTGATTGTTTTCATAGTGGTAAAATCTGTATTTTTGTATGCAGGGGGAGATAATTTTCTCAACACTAATCTCTGATAAATATTGTATGAAATTGTTGTGAAGGATTTCTTGTTGAATAAATGGATATGGTTAAACAAACTAATGCATTTTTCTGTCTTTTTAATCTATCCTGCACCTACTTAAAGGGTGCAAGTCCATTTCCTGAAACTGAAAGGCTGTTTAATGCTTGGAAAACTAACTTATCTAGAACACAGAAAGAGGAAGAAGGCAGCATGCATGCCTGCCATGGCTGTTAACTAAACTGACACCGTCCTTCAGGAAAAAACCAACCACATTGAAACATATAGATGCACTTATTTCAGGACAACCAAACCTTTTAGTTTTTTGGGACAACACAATTGCCTGATGTGGAGCACTATACTAGCATTCAGAAAACCTGAGTGTGAATTCTTGCCTTCACTTTCTGTCTCTGTGAATATTGGGGGAGTTGGGCTACATAGATTTCTAGGGCTATCTCAGAGATTTTGAGATTCTGTGATTCTGAAGACACATATTGCAGACAGTACAATTCTTTTGAGGTCTCAACTAACCCATATTGGTTAAAGCCTTAGGTACTCACTGTGGTTCACAAATCACATGAGGCTCTTGTTACAAACACATTTTTAATTTCTCTTTTTGAATACCTTATTAGACACTACAAAGGATATAGTGGTCATGGCTCTTGAGGTGATGGCATTGATTAATGGTGCAAAAACCACTAGCATGTGGTAAATATGATTGCAAGTGTAGCTCAGGAATCAGAACTGTGAGGAGCCCTGATATATGAGATTCTGAGTCATTTATTTATTAATTTGACACAGTATCACGTGGGCTGATGAATGGAAATTGATTTGTAAGCTTTATAATGTCAGTTGTCAGAGTAGTGTGAAAACTAACATTTATTAAGTATTTCTTAAGTGCCAGGCAACGTGCTAAGTGCTAGGGGTGCAGGGGAATAGTCCTTGCTCTCAAGGAACTCAGAGTCTAATGGGAGAGACAAGATGCAAAGAATTAGACATAAATTAGATGCAGGATAAATTGGGGGTAGAAGACACTAAGATTAAGGAGGACTGGGAAAGGGAACTTACTGAAGATGGGACTTTAGCTGAGGCCTGAAGGAAACCAGGAAAGCTAGGAGGCACAAACAAGGAGGGAGAGAGTTCTAGGCATGGATCATAGCCGATAAAAATGCCCAGAGTCAGGAGATGGAGGATCTTATCCGAGGAACAGCCAGGAGGCCAGTGTCACTGGATCTCACAAAGCATGTGGAGGGGAGTAAGTACAAAGACACTGGAAAGGTAGGAAGGGGCCAGCTTTGAATACCAAACCAGAGGTTTTTATATTGTATCCTGGAAGCTATAGGGAGACGCTAGAATTTATTAAATAGAGGTGGGGGCAAGGGGCAGCGTTGATATGGTCAGATCTGTGTTTTGGGAAGATCGCTTTGACAAGGGAATGAAAGGTGGATTAGAGTGGAGAGAGACTTGTGGCAGGAAGTCCTACCAGCAGCTACTGCCTTAGTCCAGCCTGAGTTTGACTTGAAGTCATTTCTAGCACTCTATGCTAATATTTCATAATGATGAACCATTGGCACCAGTCCAAAGGGCTAAGGCAGGAAGCTATGTATCACACAGGATAGAGGTTATGCTCCTTGGAATAGGACTAAGCTGGATGACATTATATGAAACATATTCTTCAGCAAATATGAATTATAGACATTTTTTATGTAATTGTCTAAAATGTAGGCTATCCAGAAACTTGGAAAAACTGAAAAACAAGCTTGTGTGGTTAGTTGTTACTCCAGAATCCACTATGAGTTTCAGGCGAGATTTGTCCCTGGGGAGTAATGAGAATACACTTGATTTTCAAAGAGGGAGAAGGAACATTCATATATCTTTGTATAAATAAACACACATATACACATTATATATGTGTATACATAGTTATACATGTATACACACAGGCACAACCAAGTAATCAGTATGTTTTAATCCATCTTGATTTTTCATGGATGGTAGATGGACATGCAGTATGTTAACAAGTGAAAAACTTTACAAATCAAAGGCACTTAAACATTCATATTAGTTCTCAAGTCATAGCAAATGCCATTTACTTAGGTGATTGCTTTTGTATATTGAAAGCTTTTAGGCTTAAATTTTATATAAAAATGTTTTGAAAGATGATAACATCTTGTTTGAGAGAGAGAGAGAGAGAGAGAGAGAGAGAGAGAGAGAGAGAGAGATACATATAATATCACAGTTTCCTGAAATGATTAAAGACGGGCCTTCTAATCCCTGGAGAAAGTCATTGGTTATGTTATAGTTTCCACAGTCCTTTGGTCTTCTATGCCCTGAGTACCCCTAGCCTGCTAGCAGGCACTCATTTGGAACAAGGGGTTGGCTACCAACAGCCATCTTGTGAGTCTGCTGCCGGTTTTCTTTCCCCTGAGTTTCAGTTTCTTTATCTGTCAAATGGGGATAATATATACTTGTACCACCTCATTCACTGGGCTCTTTGTGAGGAAGGCCTTATAGTCTTAAAGTAATGCAAACTGCTGCTATATTTACTCATCACCTTGTCTCTGAGGTCCCTTCCAGCTCTGATAAATCTTTAATATTTGTATCGTCTGTTTTGAACAGGGCTGGGATGGTGTCCTTTTCTATTGAAGGATGACAGCTCACTTCCTTAGGCTAGTCTATTAGAATTACATCCTAGCTACCCTCACACCTAGAATTAGATGTGTTTGTGCAGGTCTTGATGGCGCGATGAGTATCCATTGTCTGAAATGAAAGATGTCAGAATTGTCTTTGTGTATCAAGAACATGGAGAAAAGAAGAACTGTCTAATAATAGATTCTTAGAAAGACCACTATTATTCAAAATGTCAAATGCCTCAAGTTGCTTCAAGCTGTGGTGTGCTTGTTAGCACGTGTGTGTGTGTGTGTGTGTGTGTGTGTGTGTGTGTATGCACATGCTCATGGAGAGAGAGAAGAGAGTGAGAAGAAAAGTTCTATATATGTAGCACAGTTCGTGGTACATTGTAGGTGCCTCATAAATGGTTATTGATTGCTATGTCAAAGTGAAGCACAAACCTGTGACTTAATTAACATAGGCCTGCCTCACTCAGTAGAAACCGTCCACTGATGCAGATCAACCGCACATCAGCAACGTACAGTCTTAGAGTTGCTTGGAGGCGTTGAAAAGTTAATCATTTTGTCCATTGTCATTGAGCAAGTGTGTCTTAAAAGCAAGTGGTCACCTAAGCCACAACAATCATCTTTTTAAGAAATGTAACTCCCTGGGTGATCTGGACTAATTCTCCCAGCCCCAGTTTTCCTCTTCTGTCTCATAAGGAGACAGTAGGAGGTAGAGTTTTTTTAATGGCAGAAAATGGAACCCTCCTTGGCAAATGGATATTAATCTTTTGATAAGCAAGGTTGCATGTGTTGCAGTGAGGATTCCTGGGGACAGTCAAGCCACAAGGGGGACAAAGATACCTCTTCCCCAATAGATACTCACTATCACATGTCATATAAAATACTTGGTAAAAATCGAGGTAGCAAGCCTTTACATGGCAGTGTGGGACCTGGATGCAAGGTATAAACTCAAGGCCTCCACTGCATCATATTCATCTCAGACACAGAAGTCTAAATGGCTCAATGGTTCGGGAGAGACATTTGTGTTAAGTGAGTTCTCCATTATTATAAGCCTAAAATTCAAGATTGTAGAGTTAGCTCTTCTCAACAAAGACCGGCAAGGAAACCAGATACTGAAAAAGCGCTTAGACTCGGGAAAGGTGTGCAGACCGTAGACTGCAACAACTTATCACAGTCTGTTTGGAGGATAGAGCGGAAGGGGGAGAGTTGAGTTGGGTTGTTCTCCACAGCCACAGCCCCTCGGGAAACAGTAACGTAGGAGGAATGAGAGGCAAAGTCCAACATAAGAAGGAAAAGCCTCATTCTCTGCTGGCAGTGCACTTGGAGGCTGGAAAATTAGAGCACCCACTGATATTCCCTTGGTGGCCTGTGTAATACTGTCGTCCAAGATAGTCGGTCATCAATCAGAATCGGAATTGGAGTGTTCCTCTGAAATGGAAGGCAAAGACTTCAGAAACAGACTGTTCTTTAGATATCGACAGGTCACCAGCTTCAAAGCACAGTGAGGCTGGGGAGGGCTGCTTAGAATAACCATAAACACCCTCCCCTGGCTGTTCTGGAGCTGCTGGTGTCTGACCTGGTTCAACACTGACCGTTCTTAGCCTCAGGTCTTTTCTAGCTCTGTTCTTCCCCTGTCAAATTCTCTGTGCTTCCTGTTGGTAGGCAGGCTAGGGTCCTGAGCTGCTGGGAACTAAAGGTCTGCCTAGGGAGGGACAGCATGGCGTGGTTCCAGAAAGACCTCTGAGCAAGAAGTCAGAAGATATGGTTTCTAATACTACCTCTGCTGTTATTATCCTTAGCCCCACTCAGATGGCATTATTAGGAAGAAGAGGCATAATACAATAGCCAGCATTTATATGGCACTTTAAAGTTTCCCAAGTGCTTTATCAATAGGATCTCGTTTTCTCCTGGCTGCAATATTGGAAGGTAGGTGCTATAATTATCCTCATCTGGCAGACCTGTTAAGTGACTTGCCTAGGGTCACACGGCTAGTAGGGCCGTATTTGAATTCAGGTCTTCCTGACTTCAGGTCCAGTGTTCTATCCACTGTTTCACCTCTCTGATGGGTAAAAGTTTCAGAGAGGCATCGTTTAACCTGATATAAGGAAAAACTCCCAAACAAGAGCATCCAAAAGTGACATGGGCTGTTTGGGGTGCTAGTGGGTTCTCCCTCAGTGGAGGTCTCAGGTAGAGACCAGATAACCCTTTTTTGCTTTCTTTTGGATAACCACTTTTCACAAATATTTTGGGAGGATTTCAAGTCAAGTGTGGGTTGGATTCAATCCCTTTGGAAAGTTTTCTTTCAAGTCTGAGATCCAGTACTTTTGTGATTCTTTATGACATTGGGTAAGATGTTTCCTCTTTCCAAACCTTAGTTCCCTCATCTATAAAATAAGGGGGTTGGACTAGAAGATTCCTAAAATCTTTTCTCTCTTTAATTTTG